CTGTTGACTATATATTTTCTGATTACAGTACGAGAGAGAAAGAGGAAGAGTGTGTGTGTGTGTGTGTGTGTGTGGGAGAGTATGACGAAAGAGAAACAGAGAAAACGAATACATTCATCAGACACGTTTAGAATAGATACCCAAATCGTACATATATTATACATACCTGTCAAACTTGTCACGGACAAACGAGAAAATCTGAGAATAATCTTTTGAGTGTGAGCGATCTGCTGCTGCAGTCGTCGCGGTGGCGGCGAGTTTTTATAACAATTAAGTCTCCCGCTAATATACCGCGGTTACGGGCGACTCCGATGAATGCTATTATGTTATCGTCTTTGCGACTTTATGCGCGCGTAAATGTCAAGAGTGTGCAACAAAGAATGTCATCCGAGCGTACACTAGCGCGTTACGAGTACGTAGTCCTTCGGTGTTTCGATACGGTTTTTCAAATACCTCTATCGATCGTGCAGTAGTAATAATTTAAATATAATATTTTAACAGCAAGTTCATCTATATATGATGTAGTGGGTATCGTCGTAATATCGTTTGTTACGTTTTCCGTAACTGTAAAAAATTTGGACATTTTCTGCGGCCAACGTTACGATAAAAATATAAGTAAAATCCGTTTGACTAACGCGGCATGTAGTTTGTTATTTATATCCATCACAATAGTACATCGTATGGTGTAGAATGTGGGTTCTACTGAAAAACCCATATTGAATAGGCTTAGAAAACATGAGATGGCCCTGACAAAAAGCAATTCGTATGCACCGTGTGTTCGTCCGCCTACGAAGACTGTTTAGATGTGTATACCTATCCGCCTTTATTATATACTTATTTTCACTACAAAATAGTTGGAGAAATACGAATAAAAATATTCTTAAAATATACCTACCTGGAATTATAATTCCAAAAGAAAAGGTATTTTTTTTTATATAAAGCATTTCTAAACTGTTGACACGCTCGATTTCTTTTCACATATCAATTGAATGTATAAATAAAAAAATACATTCATCTTCTAATACCTATCACTCGAGAGCGGAGATAATATGAATGAAATAGGTATATTTGAATTTCGAATTGTGAGATGCGAATGTATGTGCATTACACAGCAAATACAACTGATCCAGCAAACACTGTGCTGTAATTAACTGTAAAATATACCGCAGTGATGACGACATAACCATGAAATTCTAATAATTATAAATTATTCTATATCCTTTATATTTTAATATATATGGAAAGATAATACGTGTATTTTATTTAGAATTCATCTTTAATCGTTTTTTTTTTAATATGTATGTATTTATACATATAGAGCTGTCAATCTGGGTTTCCTAAACGTAAGATATTGCGACACTTTCTAAAACCTATGGGAAGACAATGTATATAGTTAATATATCAATGCATCTAACAATGAAAACAAATTATTGTCATTGTTGCCTAATACATAAATCCCGTCACGTTTACAACATCGGCATAAATTTAAAATTATACTTTTTAAGTTCATAGAATAACTAAATACTAGAAGTATCCACCCACCAACCTACCTACACAACGCACTTGACTTGTGTTCTCACATTAGTTCACCGGTGTAAAAAAAAATATTATTTATATGACTAATGTAGTAGTAAAATTCATTATGAAATATACACTCTATTACTAATAATATACTAATAAACTATATATTACTATATTACAATATTCTTAAATCAATGGTAGTATCACCATACCAACCAACGCACCCACATCTTATAGAAACCAAATACCTAATTATGTATTATACTCAATATAAACACCAAAATAAAATATTATCCCAAATATCCCCAATAAAGTAACACATCTCCAGCTATCTGCGAAAACTAAATTTATAATTTATAATCATTTATTGCTAATAAAATCACAACATGTACCCTATTCCTAAAAAAAAAAAATGTATAATTTACGTAAACAATGTAGGTCATATTTATGTAGGTACATTGTACGTGTTTTTTCTCTTACTTTTTGAAACAAGTTAATCGCTCAATTACAAGAACAAAAGAACTGTTTTCTGTAAACTACTTAAATTTTTTTTTTCTAATTTCCAGTTTGGCATTATAATCATGCACTAAATTTCAACATTAAATTAGTGTATATTTTTCAAACAATATTAGCATATTTTATAAAAACGCCTTTTTAAAAATACTACATGGTTAGAATAATACTAAACAGGTAGGTTTATCGTGTACATCACGATTATTATGATGACTGGATAATAATGTTTGAAAATATTTACCTAGTTACAAATACTTCAGATATCACTATTTGATACACCATTTAAATTAATAAACACAGAAATATTTTCAGTGAAACTTGAGAATTAATTTTTAGTATTGGAAGTATGCAATAACTCATAATTGTTGTACACATAACCAAGAAGTATTATACAATTGTGTAGTAAATATGACATCAAGATACATATGATTTTTCAAAAAGAAAAACTGATTGAAATTAAATTTTCTTATTAAAATTATAATTGACGAAGTATAATTGTTTTTATGTAAAAGTTAACAAATTACATAAACAATCAAATAAGGTTTGATAAATTAACACAGGAAAAAACATAATCCTACAAAAACCAGTTCTTATACTAAAGATGCACTTTATTAAAATATATTTACGATAGGATACATTATACGCTACACTGTTGTTTTTTTTATTCCATAAAAATAATATTGAAATTATTTAATGGTTGGAGGTTATTTTATTAATAATTTATTTACTGTAGATTTGCTAAATTTATATTTAAATATATCATATTTAATATTAATACCGCGGTGACTTATTTAAGTTTTAGTAAAATAAGATATTCGTTTCAAACTAGGTTTTATATTAGTGTAATGATATGAAGTACATTTTTACTATACATCGTGGGCTTTGAAAGTTCAAATAAAAGGCACAGAATAACATTTTTATTTAATTTTTTCCCGTCCTTTTACATAACACAAATAATTTTAATGTGGGATATTTGTATAAGTATCCGTCAGTCAAAGAAAAAGCTATAGCCTATAGTGAGGCCTTAGGGTATATGTATACTTCAAACAAAAAAAAAATGATGATTATGAAATTATATTCAGTGATTATAAATTTATAATCATTGGTACATCACAGAAAGTACTATAAACTACATTTATTTTTGCTTTTCTATACACTCAGATTACAATAATTTGTATACAAATCGAGCATGTATTATTATATTTTAAATTTAACGTCTTCATTAAAAAAATGTAATATTAATTTATATTAATGTATACCGTATTTATGAATTTTTAATACACATATGATACAATAATCGTTAATCTACTAAATATACGATTTATAAGTTTATAATAATAGAATATCAAACAAATCAAAAATATTAAAAGTGTGTTATACAAGTAATTTATGATTTAATAATTTGTATTAACCAATTTGTTCAGTATGTAAATTAAATATAAAATAATGAATTGAATACCTATTCAACTAAAATAAGTGAAAGGAAAATGCATCAAATCAGTTTATGGAAGAATAACTAGTTACCCAATTACTTTTATTTTTGTATTAATTATTGATTTTTGATTTTATTAATTTTGTACCAGCTTAAGTCCTTATTGACAATTATTTCCTGTCAATGAGTAGTGTACAATCGCATTATAATGATAAATCTTATCACTACGATACCAATTATATTTTTATTTTCTGACTGTAACTTTATTGCAGATAATATACTAAAATATTAGTTAACACCTGTATAGGACGAATGTAAACAGCATATTATAACACTGAATCAGAACGCAAGACAAATAGATATTGTTTAATAATATCAAATCGGATAAAAGATAAGCATATGTTTGCTTGAGTTAATTAAACCTGATATTTTTAATTTCAAAACTTTTCATGTATTAATTGTATTGTTTGTCTTAAAAGTATACAAAGAAAATAAATACCTAATAATTCTAAATTTTAAAAAAACTTTAAAACGTAAAAAAAAAAATTAAATGGAATAAGAAAACTGAAGTATGCTAATTGAATGATTATTATTTTCAATAGCTCTTACCGATTACACATAGTATCAGGTACAATTAATCAATCAATTTTTATATGCAAAACTAAGAGATGGTATAAATAACGGTTTGATAACTCGGGATCGATATGTAAATGTTGAGGGTAGAATACGAAAGTCGGGTAATATACACATTAACCGAGTAATATGAACACTAGGTACCTATTGGATAAAGTGAAAATATTTGTAAAAGGTTTATTCTATACGTTAACAAGTTAATCAATTCATTATCTACCTTGGAGTGGATAAAATGTTTTGATAAAATATCAATTGTACATTATGATAAAACGTGTGCACTGATATTGTATAGTAATTTTAAACTTCAGTACGGTGCTATCGATTTTCAAGTTCATTTTTACGGCTCATTAAAGTTTGATTATTTGGTTATTTGCTGAACTGTTTTCTAAAAAAAGAGAATTTTTTTGAGAGTTTTAATAAATTAATCAATAAAAAGAATGATAATTCGGTGCACTCAACGGAATCAAAATATTATGGAATATTTTCCGAAATAAGAAACGTTAGAAAAACAAAAAAAATCACAATGAACCATTAACAGATATGTGTTAGACGTGTCGGCTACAAAAAAAATCTTTGCGTGAAATAGCAAAATATACTTCCGGCGGTCAAGGATTTAAAAAATGTTCGTGTAAAAGTACAATGGAGTAAATAAACAAGTGCCCGGACCGAATGCTATGATGCACAATAATAATTCCACGCGGTCGGTAATGCGAACCGAGTTCGGGCCGCGTAGGTCTTCGGGTATACACGTGAAAGCGAAATCATCTACCTACTCAACATCGCGACACGCGCTGTTCAATAAGTTTTGTCCATCTCATGACGGACGTTCGACGGCCAAATTACAACGGATTTATGGGGGTTTTCTTTTTTTTTTTTCTATACATACAAATTATTATAAAACGATATTATGCCGTAGAAAAGTTACACCAACCTCTTTGTCCGGCGTCTTGAACATGTTTGTCGTTACGAACGATCGAACAGCGGACGGGCGCGAGATGAGAAAAAAAACGACACCGACTTGCTGCACATCAAACGCACGTCGCCGATAAGACCGTCACAAATGCGCGTTTTACTCGACGAACGGGAAACGTATATAACGTATGTTTAGACTATCGTATGTTGAGCGTCGACCGGTAAACTTCGCATGATCGACTTCCTGCATGTGTCCGCAGGTACAAAAAGCGCATTGCGGCCCAGGTGATGCTTTCGGTTCACCTATGCTCGCGATACTGTCGCACGTTGACGCGATGTCCTACATTTTCTTGTTATTGCCGTGTTATCGTACACACACATACAAATCATAACGTATACCTACTACTTTCCGTCGTTCGTTTCGTACCTTTACACACAGCCATCTATAAATGTATAGATATATACGCGTGTACCGCCTTCAGCTATTGTATTGCATGTGCCGACCGATATAAATAGTATTATTACTATCGTCGTCGTCGTTATTATTATCGCTATTGTAAGCACGCTAACCGGTCGAGTCTTCTGATGTACAATGTACGTCACGTATAACTTACCTATATACGTTTTGTCAAAGAAAAGGGAAAATAATACGCGGTACGTGTCTCATCCAGGTCCTCGGTGTCTACATAGAGCGTGTATAATAATTATACTTTTAATCGTTTTCCTTTTTTTTTTTTTTTTACTCCAATGTTTCTCGGGATTCTCTTGTACGTAATTGCACACACACACACACAAATACGAACGCTTGTACAGACATGACCGTTCGAGGGAAACGGGACGATGAGTTCTGCTCGTCATGTTTTTGCAGTATAGTGCGGATAACAGTTATCTGCTCGCTTCGAGTGATTTCGGAAGCAGAGGAATACTCTCTTTAGGCCAACTGTTTCCGAAATGCGTACATAATCGGTCTAGAGCAAAGTTTTAACATTTGCATTACGTTTCACAATAAATATTGGATACGATTAAATGTATTATTATTGAGTTTTGCACGCACATAATTTAATCTCCTTCATTTCCTCTCCATAATATTATGATTGTATGATCAATTTGAAATAGTTTACTCCATCTGTCGTACTATAATCAAGAACTCGTGTCATAATCACATAGATGTATTCAGTTATTGATGAATTATTTTCTTAAATTCTGATAGTTGGGAAAAATCTAATTCATTTTAATTTTGTGCTAAATTTTTAAATACTGATTTTTTTTTAAAAACATATTTAACAATACCATAAGCTCATAGGCGCAACTAAGGGGGGCTTGGGTGGGCTAAGCTCACCCAGTTTTGTCCGTAGCCTATTCAGTTTCACTACAAAATAAAACATCAACTCTTGGTTTTTCTAAAAATGTAATTTTTGGTGTAATTAAGACATTTGAAACTCTAAGATCTGAAGATGAATTTAAGAAAATATGGGAATAAATAAAAATATTAAGCTGAAGAAAATGACATGTGGTTACTAACTCCATTAACTGGTATATATATTTTGTGATTTTGATAATTTGTTTTATGTTTTTTAACTTAAATAATACATACAAAATATAGGATCAAAGCATCGCAGAAGAGAGTCAACTAGCCTTCATGACTATGTATTAACAGCTACCACGGCGGCAGAAAATGATTTACATTCGTCATTAGCAAATTATGTAGAAAATTATTGGAAAACTTTAACATATTTTTTTACTATGGACAGTGTTATTTTCAATCTTAAATATAAGTTTTCTGATTAAAGCTTGGCTATGGCCAGTTCGGTTGTAGTTCATTTTGTAAATTACAACCGATTCAATTAAGTTTATTGTTCATTATAAGGTAATTTGGTAATACCATGTAAATAAATACATTTTAATTGTATAAGAGATTAATGATAACTAATTAATTAATTATAATAATTATAATTATAGAAATTACTTCATATTTCAAACAGTAGCTTAGAAGCAGAAATTAGAATGGCATTTAACCTTTAAATAGTAAAAAAAAAAGATTTCAATATAAATGATGTTAAAGAAGTCGAAAAACAAATATTTCCAAACTTTTCTTAACTTATACAAGTGGCTTTATCTATTCTTATAAGTTCAGATACCTGTGAAAGGTCGTTCTTTTCAATGAGACAAATAAAACATTGGCTTAGATCTTCCATGGCCCATGATCGATTTACAAATTTATCTATTTTAAATATAAAGAGAGATGTAACCAACAAATTAGACGAAAATTAAATTGTAAATAAATTTGTTGAAAAAAATAAAAAAATATTGTTAATTTAATTAGGCTTTATAATAAAAATTTAATAGCTATGATCTGTATATTTAATTGATTATATATGTATATCCTAATTATTCGTGTTTATTTAGGTAGCTAGTCTGTAAGTAATAAGTGACTAGGTAAGTGACAACATTGTACTTCGAAATAAACTTAACAACTATGGGTAAGGTCGTAAGGACTTCTAATTTATATAAATATAAATGTTATTGATAATCAATATTGAGGGTGTGGGGACGAAGCCCCCACGGGTCGCTGGTATCATTAAAATTCAGCCCACCCAGAAATTGAACTCTAATTGCGCCTATGCATAAGCTTACTATACAGTTCATAGCACGTACATAGGAAAATGTTTAATTATTTCATATTTTATTTAAATTTGATGTAAACCGCCATAACTGTTGATCAGGAATTCAGGATGGTTAGACATAAAAAATGTACATTCCCTTGGTACTGTGAGTGCTAAACGTGATATATTTTATATGAATTTTGCAATATTATGCATTTATACTAGTTCCAAATCCCCTTGTTCCTCTATAAACTTGTTTTATCTTAAATATTGATCTAATTTGTTTTCTACTTAATTGTTTTCATCAAAAAAAATATTGAGAAAATGGAAATGTAGGATTATATAAAATATAATAATAAATAGTTATATTAAAAACTAAGTAACAAATTTAAGTTTTTTATCTAAAAATATTTTATATTTTTATAACTGCTTGTTAAATGAATACTTAAAATAAAATAACTTTTATATAAGTTTTGATAAAAGTTCGAATCGAACTAAAATAAATCTCAACTAAATAACAAAATAAATTGAAATGCAAATTTTTATATATTTTTACTCCAAATTTAATAAATAAAATCATAAGACTTTTAGTTATGTCAGTATAATATGAACAGCTCAATTGATTATTACAAATTGATTTATTTTTCATATTAATGATAGAATTAAGAATTATGAAGATAAATAATATTTGAGTAAATTACTTAATTTGAACATTTTTTAAAGATGCTGCAACAACAACTCCTTTATCAGATACTGTCCAAGGAATTCCTTTGTAAGTAGCTTGAGATTTTTCATCAGTTTTTAAGTCCACTGCAATTTCCTCAAATACTTTTAATACCTTATCTGGAGATCTGGAATATCCATTTACAGTTACGATATCTCCTGGAACCGAACCTGAAGGTGGTTCCAATATTTCAACATTTTCTGGTGAGCTAGCACACATCACCATTGCTTCAGATAAAATACTTCTAATTTTAGATGGTTTTAAATTGCACAACACCACAACCATACGATCAGACATTGATTCTAATGGTACAAACTTCACTAGTCCACTTACCTAGAAATAAAATTATATTACAAATCGTATAAAATTAAATAAATACAATTAAAAATCAATCATCACATCTAATTAATTAAATTTGAGAAATTTGAAAATTATTTGAAATTTTTTTTAATTAAATATACATACCACATTCCTTGGTTTATCTTCTCCGACATCAATAGTTTCTACATATAGAGCATCAGCATTTGGATGTTTAGAAGCACTCAAAATTTTACCAACACGTAAATCTAATCGACCAAAATCAACTGGGGTGGTAATTGTACTTTTTGCTGGTGCTAAAAGTAAATTTTACTTATCAAAATATTAATTAATAATTCTTAAATTATTTAATGTAGTTTCATTTATTTGATAATAGTTTACTTTTGATAATTTTATGGTAAGCTATCACTAAAGATTAAATGCATACATATTTAAAAGTATATGCTAATAAGTAGACAAAAAAAAACAAACATAATTACTCAAAATTGTAACTACACTTACCAGGATTATTTTTTTTTTGTTTCTTTTCAGTTTTAGAAAATTCTTTTTTTACTTCAGTATTTTCTTTTGAAACTGTTTTTTCAATTGAAATGTGATCTTTACCAACATCAACAACAGAACTTTTTACACCACTTTCAATGTCCTATAAACATACTAAAATTAATATAATTTAAATATTTAAATTCATTTTAATTTATAAATATATATATTTTATTTATGAAGTTTATTGAAAATTTACAATCTATACTAAGTGTACAATAAGTAAATTTGAGGAAGGAATAACAATGATGGGGTAGTGAAAAGGGAAACTCGTAGTAGAGCTACCTTTACATGAATCTTAAATTTGTATAGTCATTTTATATTAGGTCTCTGGACCAATTGCGATTTAGATGTTGGATAGGATTGCTTGGAAGATATTTTGAGTGTAGATAAGATATAAGTTGGTTTGGGTGGCCTTGCATTTTGGAGTAGAGTCTTTGGTAGTAAGTGGCTGCTATCTGGTTAATGGATGGGATTTTGAGGTCTTCATAGAGTGGTGTTTGTAACAAACCAAGTGGCTTTGATGAACTTGCAGAGGTATATGGATTGAATTATTCTAAGATTTGAAAGTTTAGCAAAACCCCAAAGGGCAATTTCGTATGACCATATTGGTTGGAGAAGACTTGTACAAGACTTGTACTTGACTTGTGTAGAAGTAGGGAGCAACGTCACTTCCTTATGGGACACCAGTATGTATCTCGTGAGAATCAGATAAATTAGAATATATTTTAAAACTGAAGAACTTTTTTTCGATATAGAACTTAAGTAGGAGATAGAATAGCATGGGAAAATTTTTTTTGAATTTGAATAGTAGGCTGGCGTCAAATGTTAATTTATATTTAGAAAAATGATATCATCATTTGAAATTCAGCTTATTTTAAAAACTAGAATAATGGTTAATACTATATGAACTGTAAACAAAGTTATCAATGGTAAAAGAATTAGAATTGAAATTATTCCTTTTATTGCTAGTTAGCATATCTATTAGGTAGATAACAGAGTGATATTAGCTAGTTTTTTCATTTATTTATCAAACAAAAGTTCAATAAAATATGTTTAATCCCAATTATACTATAAAAATATAATATGTTATATTAGTTTCAACAAGTTATAAACATTAAAATTATAACTGTTAGCTTTTTTCCTTACGGTTCCAATTTGAATTTTTCCTTTTTGTAATTTTGTCAATTCAACTTCAATTTGTGCTTTTAATGATTCTTGTTCTTTTTTAAGGCGTTCAATTTCTTGATTATAATTATTGGCAAGATCATTTTTATGTCTTTTAATCTATGAGGAAAAATACCAATTAAAATTAAAAATAAATAAATACATATTTCATTGGTTTCATATAGAACAATTAAATATATTTAAATTTTGAAAAATAATCATCATTAATAATTCTTACAAAATTAATACCATGCATAAGTTACAAATACAGTGAAACAATAACAATTTTAGCAACCATAGAACTAAAAATATAAGAATTAAATTTATAGAAAACTGTGTTTTAAAACATTCGAGAGAATGTTTGCTCAAAAATAAAATTAAATTATTAATGTTGTATGAGTTCAATATAAACAAAAAAAATAATTTAAACAATATATTTTTTACCGTTTCAGTTAATCGTGTATGGATAACTTTTATAGTGTTTAATTGTTTTTTAGCAACGTCCATTATTAAATTACAGAAAAATTATTTAAGTCTTTTATTAATGAAAACTACGAAACAAATAAACCGCTTGGAAAATTATCAATGCGATCTCACAAAATATTCTTCAAATTTATGATTTAAAATTATTACAAAAAATGTGAATAATTTAATATCACAATGTTAAGAGATAGCTGTTATCGTTATCAACAATATACCGAAAATTAAAAATAATCGATTCGATATTTCTATGTTACAATTAATACTCTGAACTATAAAATTAAAAATGCGTAATAAAATAACACATGTGATTTTTGATTGCATCAGAATAATAGTTAAAAATTAAAACAATGTTCTTATTTGAATGTTTTTGAACAGAGTTAATTTATGATTGGTATTTTACGCTACTATCGATAACATAATATTTATTTTTAGTTCTTGCCCTGTAAAACACCTCATAACTGTCATAACCTAACTTCTCGAATTGCAGAATTGTGTATTATTATTTACTTACCATAATACTACTTTTGTTGTACAGTATTTTTGTCCATAAGACTTTCGAGTTAAATAGCTCGAGTTCTTAAAGTATTATTGAATTTCATAATTTTTTTTAATAATGGAAAGTTCTGAGGCGCCACTATCAAAAAAGTACGTATCAAGTTCACGATTGTAATATTATTGTTATACTTGGAAATGTTTACTAAGTGTTGAAAAATACGTGGCGTATAAGATTTAAATAAAATTATTTATAATTTCGTCAATTAAAAGTCTACATTAATTAAGTAGAACTAGACATACATGAGATCGATCTTTAATAGAAACCAATTTTACTAATGTTTTAATAAAATGAGTCTTTTTATGAGTCAATGGGGAAAAAAGTCTATAATCCATACAAGATTGATATATACTTCTTATCGGTCACAAAGGTACAGTAACATTTCATTCGAAAACTGGTATCGGGGTGAATGTTACCAAATATTTTATATTATAAATATCGAACCAGTATTACATTATATTCTGTACAATTTCATAATATGTATTTATATAAAAATTCTATTATAAACTATACTTAAGACTGAACAATTCATTTATAGTTTTTATCAGTTAGTTAAAAGTTAGAATTGGTTTTTCCTCGCTTCAAATTCCAAGTGTAACTTACTCAATTTAAAAAACGTTTATTCATCAAAAATTAAAAGTAAATTTAGTGAAATATTATTTAGGTAACATAAATAGCTATTATTAATTAAATTACTTATTTAGATGATAAATGATTTTTTTTAAACAATTTGATATAAATGTAAACGTTCACTCTGTATCCAGGTTAAATTTGTATTGGCAATTCTTGTAATACTATACATTTAATTTTTTAGTGAGCTCAAACGGCGATTAAAAGCTGAACAAAAAGCTAAAGAAAAATTAGAAAAAGAAGCTACTGCTCAGAAAAAACAGCCCACAGTTAAAAAAGAAGCTGTTGTGTCTGATGCTACTAAATCTGCTGATATCAGTCCTAATGTATGAAAATATATATATATATATATATATATATATATATATATGTAATAGTTGTTTGTGGTTTTTATTCACACAAAACTTATTTATAGGAATTCTTCCGTTTACGTTTACAAACAATTGCCCAAATGAAAAAAGACAGCGAAGAACCTTATCCACATAAATTCAATGTAACTATATCTTTAGAAGAGTTCATTGAAAATTTCAGTTCATTGAGTGAAACCCAAATTTTACACGATGAACAATATAGTGTCGCAGGTATGCTTAATTCTTCATTTTTTATAAAAGATTTCTACTATACAATTTATGTATAAATAATAATTGATATTATTTATATTTTTTTTTCATAATTTAAATATATTTCTATGTGTATAGGTTAATTTTATTATTATTGATAATTTATTTGAATATCTAACTGGATTAAATAACAGATAAAATAATAGCCTTAGTCTAAACAATAAAATAAAATGGTGAATAATTGTTTTTGTGTATCATATTAAATATTTTGTTAACTAATTATTATCTGGATTTCCCAAAAATTGGCTGAGAACCATTTCTCTTTTTTTAGTTAATTTGATTTAAATATCTTTATGTCAAATCAATTATAGCTGAACAATTAAGAACAAGTTAAAGTTTAATCTCTAATATGGATATTGATAATACATATTAAAATAAAAAATAGATAAATGCAAATAAATCATAATTAACAATTGTTGATAAACCTAAAATAAATAAAGATTATTATAGAGTGGTAATTTTGTTGAATGATATATAAAAAAAGAGAAATAAGGGACTTTTTAAAAAAATGAGTATTTAAAAGGAAATTATTAAATTTTAATATTTGAAGATTATTATTTTTGTGTTCAGTTAAATTTAAATTTTATGATGAAGATTATCATTTTTTAAATCAATGATGAATTGAAGTTTATTCCTTGAACCAAAATTCTGTGCACATAATTGTAATTTATCTCAGTTATTTTACTTAATATATATTAAATAGATGGTATAAATTAAAAAAACAATTTGTTTTCATAATGTTTTTTGAAGTGTTTGAAACAGTAAATAATTACTATAGGGGGTTTTAATAAATTTTAATATTCCTTAATTAAATCTTTTGTTTTTGATTTTAGGTAGAGTTCATGCTATCCGTGAATCTGGTCCTAAATTAATTTTTTACGATCTACGTGGTGAAGGAGTTAAAATTCAAGTTATGGCAAATGCTAAACAATATACATCTGAAGAAAGCTTTATAGCAGATACATCAAAAATACGACGGGGTGATATAATAGGTGTCACAGGTAGTCCAGGAAAAACCAAAAAAGGAGAGCTATCTATTTTTCCCAAAAACATAAAACTTTTGACTCCATGTTTGCACATGTTACCTCATATGCATTATGGACTAAAAGATAAAGAAACCCGGTATAGACAACGTTATTTAGACTTGATCATCAATGAAAATGTACGAAACAAATTTATTGTAAGAGCTAAGATAATCTCCTATGTTCGTCGGTTCTTGGATAATTTAGGATTTCTTGAAATTGAAACGCCCATGATGAATATGATTGCTGGTGGAGCAACAGCAAAACCATTCATTACACATCATAATGATTTAAATATGGATTTGTTTATGAGAGTAGCTCCTGAACTTTATCATAAAGTAATTATTATTATTTTTAAATTTTGTTTTTTTATTTATTTAATATTTAAAATATTTAAATCTAAACCAAATTACAGATGCTTGTGGTTGGAGGTATTGACCGTGTATATGAAATTGGTAGACAATTTCGTAATGAAGCCATAGATATGACCCACAATCCTGAATTTACAACATGTGAATTTTATATGGCATATGCAGATTACAATGATCTTATGAAAATTACAGAAGAACTTTTATCTGGTAAATTTTTCTGATATTTAAAAATAATTTAACTATTGAATTGTTGAATATTTTTTTAGGTCTTGTAAAAAGTATTTTTGGTACTTATAAAGTAAAATATCACCCTGATGGCGTTGAAGCCAATACTGAACCAGTAGAAATAGATTTTACTCCGCCGTTTAAAAGGATGTACATGTTCCCGGCTTTAGAAGAAGCTCTGTCAGTAAAGCTTCCTAGTCCTACTGAACTAGCTACAAGTGAAGCTAATAAATTACTCAGCGATCTTTGCTTAAAACATGAAATTGAGTGTCCACCTCCTAGAACTTCAGCTCGATTATTAGACAAAGTAAAAATAAAAATATTTACTTTTAAATATGAAAATATTACATTGTATTAACTTCGAATTATAAAATGTTTGTATTTTTAAGCTCGTAGGTGAATTTCTTGAAGAAAAATGTATCAATCCTACATTTATATGTGACCATCCACAAGTAATGTCACCATTAGCTAAATGGCATCGATCAGTAGCTGGATTAACTGAACGATTTGAGTTATTTGTTATGAAAAAAGAAGTGTGTAATGCTTACACAGAATTGAATGATCCCATGATTCAGAGGGAAAGATTTGAGCAACAAGCAAAGGTAAGCAAAGGTGTTAATAGTATAAACTATTATTTTGTTTTTTTAATTATATTAAGTATTATGTATTAATATTTATTAATATTATTGTAAAAAATATGTATGCATATATGATCAATTATAATAGTTATAATTCATATAAATCTAAATGATTACATGATATAATTCAGGGTGATCCAACCCATGGTCCTCAAAGCCTTTTTTTTTTGGCTCGTAGACCACCTATAATTAAAAAAAAAGTCATAAAAATATAACAAAATTGTTATATGATTATATACTTATTATGTTTTTTACTATAAAACTTAGGTATATGTGCAATGAGTAACATTCAAAAATATGATTGAATTCAGCTCACGTACATGTGTAGGTATCGTGTTTTAATAGTATCCACAGCGAATCCGATTTCTTGTAGTAGAAGATCATGGAAATGGAGTATTAGGCAACAATTATTGATTTCAGGTTTTATTAGATAATAATATCATTTTTTTTTCTTTTGCGGCCCTTATTGTTTTTATTTATGTGTAAATTGGTCTGGCTACTACAAAATGTTGGACCACTCTAATATAACTAATATTTATATATATAATTAATATTATTTTATTTTATGTAATTTAAAGGATAAAGCAGCTGGTGATGATGAAGCACAATTGATAGATGAAAACTTCTGTACAGCATTAGAATATGGTTTACCTCCTACTGCTGGTTGGGGTCTTGGCATTGATCGTTTAACAATGTTCTTAACAGACTCCAATAATATTAAGGTAAGTTCAATATTTGTGTTCAGATCATTTATTATTTGAAAAATTATTTTCATATTCATATTTAATTTGATTGGGTGTAAATATAACTATATATTAAATTAAAGTTATTATTGTCAAACTATTGATAGTAATTTGTCTCGATTTACTTGGGGTGCGTCATAGACGATTTATATCATTAAATCCTTGAAGATATATTTCAAAAATGAAAATTATTTATATTTTCATGAACTTAAGTAAAATTATTAAACATTCTTTTATTGTTTGTAGGAAGTATTATTTTTCCCAGCAATGAAGCCTGATGATCCGAATAAGAATAGAGAAGAGAAAACAGAGGATGAAAAAACTACTGTATGAGAATTATTTAATGTAACTAATAAGTTATTATTTAAATAAACTGTAAATTATTTATAGAGTAATTTTATGTTATTTATTTTTATCTATAATTGTACACTTTATCCTGTCATAATATATGTTTAATTAAATGGGTGGATATTTAAAAAAAATTAAGGTTTTCCTAGTAAGTTAATTCTTATTTTTTGCTATATTTAGCGTATATAATAATTTTAGTTACTCCAACAAAACAACACTGAATCTTGACTACAAACTAAAACATAAACGCTTCAAAAAAAAATTCTGAATTGTCAAGTACCTAAAACAGAACATTTCATATATTCTGATAATAATATTGTAAAGTTATTTAAATTACTTCAAAATTGGTAAACTACAATCTAGTATGAAAAGAAAAGGAATAAATATAATCATTCTTATATAAGTATCAATTTTTTTTTCGTCATGTGTTCTTGTCACACTATTCTTATTAAGATTGTAATAAACCATATGTTAACATTTTTTTTCCCTTATACAAGCATTATTAATCGTTTACTTTTGTGAGGTGTTGAAATTATACTTGGTTTTAAGTAAATATTGTTGTTAAAGTAAAATATTAATTTACTTATATCTATCACATAATATGGTCTAATCATTAGATTAAATTCTAATGTCTACACAGTTTACATACTACGAACACCAATAGTCACCTATTGTTTGGGTTACGGTTGATGATTGTAGCTATAGGTACACGGATTATGTCTCTTAGTGCATCGCTATGGAAACAGGTATACAAACAATAATCTACTATCAGTCACAACTACAGGTAAAAAGATGATTATCAAAACATTTTTGGTTAGTGTTTTGTGCACATAATATAATATAAAATATTCAAAATATATTTTTCATTACTAGATGACCCACGTTACTGCTATTTTAATTATCTTTTGTAAATTAATCTCTGTTCCAAATACATTTTTGTTAAATTAATAAACAACCAATTACGTTTACATAAATTGAATATGGTTCTTATGAAACGTTTGTAGTTAAATTAGTGATTAATCGTTTTATTATAAGAATAGTATACAATTTAATTGTGTTCATTTTTCGATTTAAAAATGCGTTTTAAATCGACAATACTAAAAGAACTCGTGGACCAATGTGTTGTTTGTATTGGTTGGACAGGATACGATGAAATCGTCATTGGAAGGTATGAGGGAACTCAAATTGTTTTCAATCACTTTACGTAACATGTTATGATTTTAATTTTAAATGGATGTTTTAAACCACTGCAAGTTACTTTGGGTGTGTATACCTCCGGTTTTATAAATTGTTTATCATAAAGATTCCTTCATTTCTTACACGTGTTGCATTTATTATTTTGTTTGTTGTATAACTTAAAACCGTTAAAGTAATTAAGTTAAAAATACATTAAGTTCTATTATTTGATCTATTTTAGTTTTACCTGTAAACTTGAAAGTATTCAACTTAAAGACTATATTTATTTATTCATATTGAGCCATAATACAAAGTAGGTATACATTTTAATGTTTATAATTTGTTTCAATTTACATGTTATAAGAAAATAAATCTCTTCAAGGATGTATGAAGAGTATTTTTTATAAATTGCATATTTTCGTGGTCTGAATTTTCCCTATTGTTACCTAGTCAATTTGTTTATGTCTAAAACGAAAAGAAACAAAAAGTATTATAAAATATATTTTATCATAATTCATAACTAAAATTATTTTAATTATTTACTATTTATTATTGCTCGGACGCATTTAGGTAATCCTTTATAATTGAAATTATATTTATTCTTACCCAGAAGTGATTTTACGCTCTCAAAATGGAGCCAAGCCACAAAGGAAATTATTAAATTATGCGATTTACCAGATCAATCATATCCTGTGGACTTGCATATGTTACCTAACGCGCAGAGAGCTACAAACAAGATCGCAGGAACCGAACAAATTCTAATTACTTCGTCGAACGGTACGGTTATATTAATATTCACAATGAAATCGCAACGATTGTACTCCGGCAAATAATTTTAGTTTTTTCTGTCACAGGCAAGTTACATTTAATGAGCAAGACTACGAAAGTTGATAAAACCATTGATGCCCATGAAGGAAATGTAACGGTCGGAAAATGGAGTCCAGATGGTTCAACTTTACTGACAGGTCAAATAATATAAAACAGTTGAACGTTGAGCGTGTTATTGTAGAAATAATAGGATGGTACTTTTTTTTCGAGGCACAGATCACATTTTAGTTTAAAAACACTAAAAAAATCGTGAATTACACGCAGCAGCATACAAATAGTTGCGGGGGAAGGGAGAGTCAAGATAATTTCCCCTACCTTAGAGATGTATTTTTTCCGATAAAAATATCACGTACTAAAAAGAAAGTTAAATTATTTTATATTATTTTTAATAATTAAGTGATTTAGGTATACGTTTTATAAAAAAAACCAATTTTGCATAACATATCCCAGTAGCCCCTAAGCTCTCCGAAATATCCATTTCCGTACGATGTCACTCGGCTGACGTATTTAATGGTACCTACCCGAAATCGTGATCACACCATTTATACGTACATGTCGAAACGGTCGTTGAATTGTCATTTACGTGCAACTTTTTACGCGGGTTCACGTAATTACAGCACTAAGTGCTCCACTACGAGTTGTTAGAAATATCACGGCGCGGCCGGCCGCGTCATACCCATGGGCGCAACTATAATCCAAATATTGGGGGTGCTGAAATTGCTGAAAATAAAATTAAACGGTATTTAATTGTAATTACTATAGATTATATAGATCTGAAAAAAAAAAACAGAAGTTCTGCATTTGAACTGAGGGATGCTAAAAGCCCTATTGCACCTCCCTAGTTGCGTCTATGGTCGTGCCGTGTCGCTGCGGTGATTAATTGTATCGTTTACGGTTGCAGCCGGAGAAGACGGTTGCATGAAGATATGGTCCCGTATCGGAATGCTGAGGACGAAACTGGTCGTGAACGGCGAGCCGATAATGTCCGCCGACTGGAACTCGGATTCGTCCAAGATCGTGTACACTCAACACGACGCGCTGTGCATTAAATCGTTGAAAGCCAACGTGAAACCGATCAGAGTAGGTTACCGTTACGTTCGCCCAAGTGGCGGAACTACCGACCGTTGGGCTCGTGGATACGATTTATTTCGAGGCCCTATTATTGTACCGTAATCAAATTCTCCTGACAACGGGTCCCTTGTTCTGTGTAAAATAAAAATAAAAATAAATACCTGTTGTGAATCAATAATTTGTTGAATTATCATCACATGATAACAATAGTGCAATCATGTTATATTTACGATGAAAATTGTTTTTTTTTCTCGAGCAAACGTCTTCACCGGCAACAATAAATTCAATTTTTTTTTATCATGCTCGTTTTCTATCGAATTCGTCGCCGGACACGGTGCTCCTTGAATAATTTCTAATGAATTTTAATGTTGAGAATGTCTTTTTAGCACCTGGTACAGTAACCGGGTAGTGCAAGGAACAAGTAAAATACCCATTAACAAGTCATGGAAATAATATTGAACTCGTATAATGTGTTTTTCGCATTCATTAAAAGTAGTCCGAATACCGTCACAGAGTATGTTCTGTGGTACTATCGTGTTGACGTCGGATAATCCGTTTAGACGTTTATCAATCACTGATCAGTATACTTTGTATTATTTCAATGATTTCGCCTATTTGAACTGATGTATATATATATTTTAAAACAACAAAGAATTTTACTGCGAGGCCTCTTTATCGATGAGGTAAATCCCGAGAAAAATCCCGCCATCGATCATACGTAGTTCCGCCTCTGCGTTCATCCACGACTCGATCGTACGTTTGTAATATCTCACGTTGCATAACATTATAACGTTGTTCGGCAGATACGGGCCCACGGTGATCTTATACACAAGGTGTCGTGGTGCAAAGCAAACGAACTCATTGTATCGGGAGGCGAAGACTGTTACTACAAGGCAAGTGTTATTGATCAAAACAAACTTCGCTTGTGCAGCGTCGGCCGAGTAACGTATCACACGACTCGCGCTCATCATTATGCCTGTCGATGATCATTATCCCGCGCATGGTTTTCATTTACCAATCGTCTAACGTCGTTTAAATTGATTTTCTCGCTCCCCGAGTTTATAATATCATATTTTACCGATTTCATTCATCAGTTCCTATCTGGTGTATCGTAACATTTACAAACGTTTCAACGTTCAAACGTATTGATAACTATGCGAATCAAAAACAATCGCTGCAACTGACTGCCCAGTAAAACTGCCGATTAATGTTGTGATCTGCGAGTATGTGAAATAGGTGGTTCGAGACATGTCACGACGTGGTATTGGAATTTCGAGTAAAATAAATGTTTTATGCTTACGTCTGGATGGTGAAGTAAAAATTATATATTTTATACGCACTGTTTCATAACAAATATAGAGATTTGTATTGATGCGGACCATTAATGGGCTTAAGTATTGTTCATCAAACTAATAACAACGAAATTCTAAACCTTTAATGATTTCTAATTAATATGTTTTTTAAAGATTTGGGACGAGTATGGGAATTCTGTATTTACAAGCGAAAAATGTACTCATCCGGTCACATCTTTAAGTTGGAAGTCGGACGGAAATTTGCTAGCAGTGAGCTTTTACAGCACAATTATACTTTGTAATCAATACGGGGTGAGTAGCGACGACTATATATATGATTTATAATACTTTTATGTAACTGATTTAAATAAAGTAGATCGAGTAAGCGAGGTAAGTTTTATATTGACTTACTTGTGTATTTCGATTATAATTTTATAAACATTTCAAATATTTAGGACGACTTAATACAGAATATGATAACACTTTATTACCATTGTAAATAAGAATAACGGATAATTTTTTCATTTTTGTTTGTGTTTTTGATAGACAGTTTTGTCAATAGATTACGTTGACTGCGGTAGTATTTGTAACCTTTGTTGGTCACCGGACGGTACCCAAGTAGCCGCTGCTTGCGCCAACGGAAGATTGATGGTTTCCACTCTCATAGAAAGGCAAAACCGTTACGATGTATTTTGTTTTCGATATATTTATTTGCATTAATATTTACAGAAGCGTTTCTCAACATGATTTCCATGGTACAATTATATCACGAAAGACAATGGTCGTGAAAGACCTACTTAACGAAACTAAAGAAAATCTTGATTTTCCCGAACGTATTGTTCACGCGGCCATGAAGCATAATCATTTAATAGTTACCACGCGAACGCAGTGTTTTGTTTATCAAATTTCCAATCTGAATACGCCGCAAATTATCAATTTAAAAGACGTACACGTGTTCATGATCGTTCTGACGAAAAAGTACGAAATATTTAATACACTAAGGTAGTTACACGACCGCTTTAATATTTTAATGATCGGGTAATATTTTAATATCAGTTTTGGAAATTTCGAAACGGATAAACACCGTGGTGCTATTATGATGTGCACAGTTTCTTCCGACGATTCGCATACTACTTTCCGTAATCGTATTCGTATAACGTTTTAGGTTCTTCGCTATATTCTCAACGAGCAATGTGAACATCTATACGTTCGATTGTAAATTAGTCTCGTCTCCTAAATGGCCGAGCATGCAATGCGACGCGATCCAAAAGAGCCACGTATCCATGTCCGATCATATGTTAGCCGTAAGGGACCAACTGAACGATAAATGTGATTAACACGCATAGTATTATAGTATTACGGTATTTATACCATTGTATCTTGACGAAATCGATCAACTTTTAGCGATCCACGTTTTCGAAATAGTACCGTTGAACGCGTTGCCCGGGATAAAACACGGGTTCCCCGTTACCGATGTTCAGCTGATGACTACCAAAAGCCCGGACAAACGGTATTTGGCGTTGATCGATTCGAGCATGAACATATTCATCGTTCACGTGGGACACAAGGATGGTGTTGGAACGTACAAACTCGGTAAATCATCGCAGAACACGGTTGTACGACCATTGTTGTCTTGGCGAAGCCCAGCGATCTCTAAATATATTTCAACTCTAAACTATCGCAATTCGAATAATTCCAATAACATCATCTGTTACACAGGTTCAATGTTTCATAGCATGTGCTGGAACGATCAAACGGAATCCTTAGCCGCGCTCCAGTACACCAATTTGATAGTGTGGTACGACCCTTTGCTGCTGTTGAACGATCAGATCCTCGTGCGGAAGTCATTGGAAAAAAGTGATTTGAGGTACGCACCATAGTCGATCTGCGCATACTATTATTACAGCTAACTACACGTTCAGTGTTCGTGACGTTTTAATAATGATACGGTAGAAATTAACATTTTCTCGACTCCTTCTTCTCCCGACCTCCGAGAGTGGATCTCCTTCCCCTTAATGTCGTCAACTGTCAATTCCATCCACGCTTCCGTGTTAAATTATTGTATTCTCATTGTGTATCTACTCGAAAGTAATTTATATCAATGTATATACCCGATGTTCAGGTAAATATTTCGTATGTTATAGCTTAGCCGTACGATGTTGCAAAGCAAAGCAAAAATAGATTAATAAATATTTGTTGTTTTGATGTAAACAGTTTTTACGGGAATAAGTTAAACATCGAGTCTTACAACGAAAATTTGGTGGGCTTGACCAACACGGACGGCGTCAAGATTTACGTACAAGTGTCTCCGTACCTGGAAGCAATGAAAAACTATATCGGTGCAGGCAAATGGATGGAATGCCGGAACGTGTGCAGGAGTGTGAAGAACGAAGCTATGTGGGCCCTTCTGGCTGGTGCCGCAGTGTCGGCCAAACAGTTGGACACCGCGGAAGAGTGTTTCCTCGCCATCGGACAGATCGAACGAGCCATGTTTATTCAACACATTAAGGTATTGCACCATTCGGCATAGGAGACTATGTTGCATAATCCTTTCCTCACAGTAGTGTATTTAAAACTTTCCCAAGTATGTGTGTGCGAGAGAAAAAGGACGAGGAAGAATTTGTGCGTATAATCAATCACGCGGAGAAAAATATTTATCCATATAATATATCAAATGTAATTACCATTTATTGAACAGCGTCAAAATTACCAATTAATTCGAAGGAATGTACTATTTATTATACTGTGTACAGGCGGATTAAGAATAGATTTTTCGAAAATTGTATTTTAAGGGTAGAAACAGTTTTACATTCCGGGCAGGTTGAATATATCTGTTCACTTTTTTATTGCCAAAAAAAAAAAAAGGATTTATTTAATGTAATATGTTAATTTTAATAATTACTGATAGGGATCAGAAAAATAAATATTAATAGAAAATACGATAATTGAACTCTTTTTTTAAATCGTTATATTAATTACTCTTATCTAGTACCTATAGGAAATTAACTCCTAGAAGAGAGCGAATAATTCAGCTAGTATTTTACATAAAATAAATCATATCAAATATACTTTTTTAAACTTACTTTTATATCTTTTAACTTAAAGTGAAATACACAGAAAAATAAAAAACAAATACATAACCATACACAGTGGTGGACTGAAGGGGTCAAGTTTGATGCAGCTACGTCAAATTTTTATTGGGAGTGGTACCACCCGGCACTCCGTGCTATTGGCGATGACGTGGAATTACATGTTAACTTTTTATAAATAAATAATGTATACTAGACTTTTACAGCATATTCTACTAATTTGGTATTGACGATACGTATTGTAAATTGTAATATATTAATTATTATTACCTAAACAGTATCTAAATCTAAACAGGACCTAATTTATAATTGTAGAAAGTACGATATTATTTGTATCATAATACGAGTAAATTTGAAAACCGAGAGGTGGAGGACAGCCCCATGGATTTGTGAGGTTTGACATTAGGTTCAAGGCCGTACCTGTGGGAGTTCAACCCTCCCCCACCCGAAATTGTTAAGCATTTTATACAAACTTAGAAATATTTAACATCAGTTTTTTTTAAATATATTATTTCAATTTTTTAAAGTATCCCCCCCACTCCCCGAAAATTTGTTCTGGGTACAGCCTTGTTAAGGGGGTGGGTGTATATATTTAAATATGAGATTGCGTCATTTAAAATTTAAGTTCAGTCCACCACTGACCATACAACTATTTGTAATTTATGAGAGGTGGTTCTAACCTAATCTACTCGTATATAGAGATAAAATATTACTTTCATTGTGCTCTTTAAATACGCTACTGCGGGGGTCGTAAATTATTATTAATAAAGTTGGATCTAAATAAAAAGTATTATTTTGTTCTGTTAGACCATGTCCGATAGAACTGTCCAAGAGTCATTGCTCGCTATGCTCTCCGGGAAGATATCGGACGCTGAATCGATTCTGCTCAGGAATGGGTACACGTTGAAAGCTATCATGTTTAATATTCAAATACATAATTGGACAAGGTATGTAAAAGCCAATATATTCGTTTACTTTTTGCCTACCCCATTAAAATGCCTCCAATGGGTTAGGTTACTTCAATTTGTGATTCCTGTGCTGTATATAATTTTATAAATTAGGCTTATTTAAATATTGTAAAATATTGACTAAATTGAACATTTTTGTTCAATAAAAAAAGATTACCCTTAACATTATGACGTTATGTACGTCTTAAATTATATTATTTCTCGCTCTGGACTGATAAGAAATTGTTAAGATTATAATAAATATCGCATTAAATCGAAATTATAAAAATACTTCGGTTAAAAAAATTGTCATACAACATCGAATACGACATCCATAATGTTCTCAATTTTAACAATGTTTTTAATAATAATGATAAATATTATTATCCGAAGGCTTATTCATTTTTCAGTTCCTAATAAATTTTGCAGTAGAATTTCAATAAATTGTTTTGATCAAACTACAATTGTTTGTATTTTTTACTGGACATTAACACGTATTTAAGTTACTGCTCAACTCACTAGTAAAATTTAATCATATTTTATAGTCAATTATACTTGTACGTCTGTTTGTTTCAGAGTTTTGGAATTAGCGGTAAAACATAAAAAATACTTAAATTTAGTTATTTATGAAAGAAGAAAATATTTAGAATTTTATAAAAAACAAGAAACAAATGAAAAGTTTTTAAAATACTCAAATGTATGATGTTTTTAATCGATAATTTAGTTCAATCGGATTAATGCTTCATGTAATCAAATTTCAGGTGGAAATCGATAATGAAGAAATCCTGAAAGAAATCGAAAATGAAGAACATATGTGAAATAGTTTATAATATATTGCTCATATTACAGTATATATATTATACATGTTATAATTTTACTTTAATCACGTATTTATTATCTATAACATACAATAGACACCTGGATACAAAGATACAAATGTAAATTACATTATGTAATATCATTCCAACTCAGAATTTTATGATAAAAGTTAGAGTATTTTTTTGGATTAGATTTGTTCGAGTTTGTGCTCGATTTTCAGCGTTTTTGTAGAAAAATCAAATATCATATTTAAAAAAATAAAGGTACTTGAATACCTATTTGTTTTTTTCAATTGGTATTTAGATTCTTCCGGAAGAACAAATATTTTATGTTATTCAAACAGGTTATATTAAATAATTTATGTATACCTGTTCGTAAAATAAAAAGTCTTGACTGACTTATTCATAATGCACAGCCTATAATATGATAGTTAACGACTTGCAATTTTCAACGTGTTTTTATTATAGTCTACGCAAGCAGTAAGAAATAATTTTAAATAATTTTTGAAATAGACAAAAACCAAAATTTAAGCAGTTGAATTTTTAAGTTTTTCGTTTTCTCTACTTGTAATCTTGCGACTCTATATCATGTGACGTGTGGCCTTATATACCTTTATGACGTGTACACATCTATGTCGAAATGGTGCTTTTTTTTATTATAATCAGATAATTCAATTTTTCATAATGTGATGAAAATGTAATTATTACATTCATAAAAAATGCATTCATATAAAATAATATAATAGTATATAAAAAGTATAAAAAAAATTTACTTTTGATAGTGAATGTTAAGAAATAATATTAATTAATTAACAGTCATAATTTTTATGTATATTTAAATTTCTTCGACAGCAACTTTGACCATCGGTAAAAATGTATAAAAGCCAAGCTAAATGTAGGGTGAGAAAATTTTAAAATGATTTATGTTTATTGCGTAATTAGGTTTAAAAATATTTTTAAATATTGATTGAAGACATGAACGGCTCGTTGACACCTTAAATAATTACGTCTATCATGGAGGATCGGTGCCTACCTTTTTGGACCAATTTCGTATTATTAATCGTTTAATTTTTTCGTATGTGGCTCTGCATTAAAACTACTTCGCTCATATGTCTTAAAACATGAATGGTGAGAGCTTCCCATATTTTGCAGTTTATGCCTGTGAAATGTCAATTCATTCAGTCTACCCTGGTGTTTGCGAATTCGTTGTAGGAAGTAGAATTTATCAATTTTAAATTAAAGTTTATTACAACCAAAATCTTTATGTACAATTTAGTACATAAACATTTCCCGTAAAAAGACTGTGTCTAACTTGAAATATTAACAATGGTAATTTTTATATATATATTTATCTGTTTCAAGCCATAGTGCATTAGAAATGTCTAGTGCAGTACCATCGGTAAAAAATAGCGCCGCGCTAGGTGGTCAAATCAAGTAAGAAAAGATCAAATAAAACAAGCTGTAAAAAATACTGCGTCTAATTGAGAATATGAATAGCATATATTTATATATTATAATATTATTGTACATATATTAGTTATATTTATTTTTTATTAAGTATTGTTATCTTTTGATAAATTCAACACACCTGTAAATAAGCTCGAAGAAAAAAATTGAACATATATATACTATATAGAGATTTTTACTTTTTATTTTTTAAGAGTCTTATTAGAGAGTCTGTTAGATAACGCTTTATTTTAAACTTTATTTTAGGTGATTTATACTTAAAAAGACATTGTTTCCACAATGAGTTATACTCCAAAGAAATTGAATAATCACCATTTTTTTTCGGTAGACGCCGGGTACCTCCGCTGGTATGTTATACAAAATGTTTTTTTTTTTTTGTTAATATAAAACGAAAATATAAAGATATAATAGTATTGAACTATCGAAATTCGTCGCTAATGGGCCAACTGAAAATCTAAAGCTTCTTTGAACAATTACGGTTGGAACCGGACAAGACATTTGCAGAAATCCAATTGCACCAATTGTAGTTTCGGTTTAGCGAGAACTTTCGGGTTCTCTCAGATCCCAAAGTGTCCAGGGACAGTTACCTCTGGTCACCGGGGTCATCCGTAACATCGGAAAGTCCATGGCGAGCAAGGCTTGTTTTCGAACTTGTGGAGCGGCAACGGTGTTCGAAGCGTAGTGGTGAAAATCAGACCGAACGATAGAAACTTCATTAGAAACTGAAATCTTGATCCTGCGACACATATAAGGGAAACTTGTTTACAAATAAAAAGTAAAGAATTCGAACCGGAAGGAGAAAACAAATGGGTTGATTCCAAGATGTCTTGGCGTACCAATTTTATATGAGCAATTTAATATATATGTCCCGACGGTAGTGTTTTCGGGTTTGCGGTTAAAATGAGTTAATAAGGTGTTGGGCCCCCCGTTTACTTTTAAAACAGCTTCAGTCTTTCGCGGAATAAATTCGTAGAGGAACTGAATAGTTTCCTACGGAATTTTGTCCTATTCTTTTATCAAAATATCCACAAATTATTTCAGTGATGTTAGAGGTACAGTACAAACAACATATAACAATATGTACCTAACTATATAGTATGTTGTTCATATTATTTTTTCCACCTTCTGTATATCATGTATTTTAAAACTCAAATTTTTTTTATATAGGTATAATCAAACACATTATTGTACTTTATAAACAAATTTATCACATTAGAACCTCGATTATACGGGGTAATGGTGGGGAAGCGTAACACGGATAAATGAAAAAAACAGTTAATCGAGAGATTTTATTAAACAAATTATGAAAAAAATTATATTGTTGTATGCATAGTCGCGGTCGTTATCGCAACGACTACGACTGCTCTATCGACGTCTGCGAGGGGGTGACCGACAACCGGTCTGGCCGCCCCCGACCGTGTGAACCGTCGGCCTGGCGAACAGAAGAGACGCAATTGAGCTTTTGGTCCGCACCGTCGTCATCTTAACGTATTGTAGTATACATCGTAATTGTATATTATTTATTTGTTAAATAAAGACATTGATTTTTTTATTAATCAAAAATCTTGTATTCCCACACTTTCAAAACCGTCAACACCTACAGCATATTAAGTGTTTACAATTTTATTTTCTTAAAAACTATTTTCGAAAAGGCTATAATAAATGCTAAAAACACACTATAAATAACTATATAAATATAACTAATTAAAATGGAACAAATTCGACAGAATTGAAAATTTCCCATATGTATTAGTTATAATGTGATTAGATAAATATGATGGTCGAAGACCCTCTAGAAAGTCTCTAATAATCTTAAATAACTCTTATCCTAACCTGAGACATATATGGCCATATTTTTATCGTCGAAAAGGTAGTTTACTATTTTTAGTAATTTATATTATATATGTAATATAAAAATACGTTCGTCTGACTTAATAAAACTTTTTAGACGAAAAATTTCAAACGACTATAAGTTTGGAAGAGTGAGCACGGTTAATCGTGAAAACGGATAATCGAGGTTCAACTGTACTTTTAACCAGGTCTTATTTTAAAGGGCAGTAAGAGCCAAATTAGATAGTAGGAAAAGTCAAATAGGTAGTTGACTTTATGAATATGAGCACCTTACAAAAATATAATTTTTCTTATAAAATGATTGAATTTCTACTGAGTATTTGAAATTTGTGTTATTTATAAACCCAACCTACTACCTATTAAGTAATAATTATGTAAGTTTACAATCTTTATTACTTCGATGATTGATTAATCTATGAAATATAAATTTAAATAGTGGTATACGTATAATGGAAAATATCCGTATTTTTTTTAAATATTTTACCACGTGATGGTCAAAATTCTAAAATATCAATACAAAATTTATTTGGGGAGGGGGTAAGTATTGTAATACAAATAAATTTTATAAAACAAACTTTTCAGTGTGTTTGGGCAGTAGGTAAAAATTTTTAGAATAAGATCTGCTTTTAACATTAATTATGTATTACTAAATAGTTCAATTGTAGGCCTACTACTTTGTTATTACATTAAACTATTAAACACACGATGTATATTTCATAAAATATTTTTAGGGTAATGTGAAATTATTTAATTTTATTTTTAACTTTAAATAAATTCACATTATTCTCAAATTATGTTCACAGTACTCTGGTTGGGAATTTATATAATAATTAATTGCAGATTATCTTGCTTCCAGTTTAATCATTAAAATTATCTTAAAATATTTGTCGAATATAAATTTTTTTTTAATTTAAGAATGGATATACCTAAATGTAATAGTTTTCTAGCTACAAAATAAATCATATTGCATTACCCGCGATTACTAAAATTAGGGTCATGGAATATAATTTTTAAAATGCCAAACATATGATTTGATATGACATTAAAATAATAAATAATGATAAGTTTTTCTAACAGAATTGTGATTAAAATTAATTTTATGATTTTTATCAGAATATATATTTTCCAATAAGTAATCATCACTTCATCAGTCATTTTTTTTCTCAAAACACTTGAACTTAAAAATACGTGTTTACACCGATGTACGGTGTACTCATTTGAATAAATTTGTATTTTAAATACATGTTCCGTTTACATGAATAACGGACGTAATTACGGTTTATCTTTCTTGTCTTTTTTTTTTTTTTTTTTTTTTTGTTCAAAACGATGAAAACACATCGATGCCATCGGTGAATCCAAACGGAGTGAAATTTTATATTTACAAGGGTAAAAATTTTATTTTTATTTCCCTTCCTTCGGTTTCGACCGTATGTAGGTCGATGAAACATATAGTATCGCACACGTAACGACGCTTATGACATCGTAATATACTCGTAACCAGGTTATAACAGTAGTGTAGTGTATGAGCAGTAATAGTACTTGACGATTCGAATAATGGCATGTTGTTGAATAACAATATCGTCGTCTTTAGCCGCCTTGTCAATGCTTTTGATTTCGATAATGTCTGCGAAGCATTTGGCACCTGGCTGCCTTTAAAGTGTTGCAGGAAAACGTTTTATAATAATCGCGCATAAACTCTCCCGCGAACGACTTACGAATGGTTATTGATCGCATTGCGTCCTTGGAGCTCGGGGCTTTTGTCACCACCCTGCGAATCTTTAAGCCACGAACGTCCAATGATGCGTTGAAAAAATGTAAAGTCTTTCGGCGGGGCAAAGAAAGCTTAGATTGTTTTTATCGTAGAACCATGTTATCGGTACGGAAAAAAATAGATCAATACGGTGACGTAGACATTTTGGTCCATCGAATCTCTTTCGACGGGGTTGCGTTCCCTTTCTCGGGAAACTGTTGAATTCGTTCGTCAAATCTGACCACTGTTCCGCGGTCATCGATTCAAGTGTGCTTGGAACATCTTCAACGTTCTTATGGATTTCGTGTGACGTCGTCACCAACAGTCATATGAGTGCTTGAGCAGACGTTGATACGACGGAAACGGTGAACGCAGCGCAACTATCGACTTCCAAAACGAAAACAAAAAGATGTAAAAAAAAAAAAATACTTGTAGCGTTTTACGATTTTGTCTCGTCCAACGAAAACAGGGGTGCAGGTTGGGCACGCACCGTTTGGCGGCCTACATGTCGTTTAGCTCGATGAGGACCAGTTTACCTCTTATCATCAATGTGCAATAGATTGAAAATCTTGTCACAATCGCCTCCCGGTCCGCGAACGAGTAGTTTCCTGCCAGGCACAGCGCAGACGACGACAGACGGTGATCCCAATATGCTTCGGGACGGTGGCGTAGTAAGGGTATGGCGAACTGTGCCTACGCAGGGGCGCGAACTGCAAAGGGGCACAAAATTGTATCAAAAGTCGTATTTTTATCCTACAATAAAATCGACATTTTTCTATTATACTTTTTGAAATACGTAGATGTTGTCTATTAATGCACACTACGTGTGAATTTAATGATGAAATTATGAAAATAGGGCATTTAAATGAAAAATTTCATATGAAGAAATTATCGATGAATTAGCTAGCTATAAAGCGAGATAAGCAAATTTTTAAATTTAAAATTAACACTGTAATAATAACTTATAAGTATAAATTGTATCCTTAAAAAAAATATCATGACATCTAATTTTAATTGGTTAAAAAGCGTTTTTTTTCAAGTTTGCCAAGGGTGTTAGCGAGTCTTCCTACGCCACTGTGTTTCGGGATCGCCGTCACCTGACTCGTTGCCTTTCTGGCGATCCACGGCGCACTCTCTGCTCGAACGGTTTCCGGCCAATCATGTCGACTTGTACTTGACCTGTACCCGTGACGGATGACACGAGTGTTCCTGGGTACGGCCGGTTTTCGCCAAATGTGTACCTTTTTCTCTTCCGCCTATTCAATTTTTCAACAAATGAAATAAGTTAATCCAGTATTTCTTTTTTTTTCTTTTTTAACTTTAATCGTTAACAATACTAGAAAGCGCTTGGCTGCATCGTAACATTGACGGTACATCGACTGATACAAAAAACAAGATTAGCAACCAATTCACTATTTGGCGGAAAAGAGAAAGGTATACTTTTAACGGGTAACTCCCGTGTTACTATAAGATTACGACCGATTATTTCATAGCGTTCGCTCGCGGCGTATTGAATAGGCAAATCAAGTGCATTCTCGACTTGTGACAAATCATATTTGTATCGCTTATGGCAAGGGTCTTTAACCCGTGGGCCACCCTGTCATTTTATGCGGCCCGCGTTCACATTTTAAATTTAGCATGTACATTTTCTAGTTCAATAAAATTATAACAGTTAAGCTATCGCTATCGGAAATATGTGATAAGATAAATTGAATTACCTATCAAGATATAATAATAATAAGATATAATAATTATTATTATTGTCTGTTGGTTCGTAATCGATTGTGGAACGAGCACAATATTCTCGTTTATGTGTAAAACTTTCGATTTCATATTTTTTCTTCATAATATTTATACAATATGTCGGTGAGTAAAAAACGTAGTCTCGGATGAAAGTCGTGTTTTTCAAGAAAAATGGTCCAATAACTATTTTTTTGAATTATTAAATTTACTAATTTGTAATTTTAAATGTACCAACCTAATTTTAAAAATCGTAAGAATAAAACTAAACTTTTATACATAATACATGTCTATACTACGAATGCAAGATTTAAAAAAAATAATATGTGGCCCGCTGCATAAAAAGGTTGAAGACCACTGGCTTATGGGAACACCTCAATTCGAATAGCGTAACACATATCTGATGTATTTTATGTAATTTAATTAATTTTAAATACAATCATCCTGTAATTATAAAACTATGGAACACAGTACGCTTTTACGTAATAATATTATATATATATATATATATAATTTGTATAATATTTGTTTTGTCTAATAAAATTATTACATTCATTATTGAAAAATATATATATTTTTATAGTCATGAAAAAAGTTAGGAATGAGAATAACGATACCGATTACCTTAAATTTAAGGATATAAAGTATATGATTAACCTAGTGTTTCACTGTCATCACAATAAATCGTATTTTACTATTTTACAATCGACAGTTGCAATATATGACTATGGTTTTTTTCAAATATTAGAAGTGATGTACGAGTATGTTAACTGTTCGGATAAAAGAATTTCGAGTGATTTAAAATACGATCAATAAAATATTTTTAACTGTTAATAATAACAATAATAGTAAATTAATCGTATTGACAATGTTATAGTTATGTATTAAATATACGTATATTATATACATAATTAAACACGGTTCTCGTTAACACAACGGTACGCGTTTTATATTTTGTATGTCTTGTCAATTTTTTTCCAACAAGTGTTTAACAATTAAAAGATTATAAGGTCTAGCATTTGGACTAATAGCAAATCCCATGTGACTAAATTTCTTCGCCATAGTGACGTTCTTGACATTTGGAAGTCGATCTATTAACCATTTTACGTCCTGAAATTATAAAAACAAACGTATTACTTTCAGTTAATGTACAATTACACATTATTAGCAATAATTTTCTTGATTTAAATTAAGTGTTTTACACGTAAAATATCTAAATTTAATACCACAGTTGATAAAAAGTAAATATTCCTTAGATGATAGTCAAAATATCGATTTCGCGAGACCCAAAATTAAGATTTAAACATTCAACTAAATAATCATATTATGAACTGGATATAGTAAAAATTAATTATGATTCATATGTGTCTGATATTCTTTGGAATAAATTATCACGCAATAAGTTCTGATGGTAGGATCTATATTTATAATACCGTTTCAAACATAGACGAACCTGTTCAGTGGAGCCCATTATATATTTGAATAAATAAATAAATAATAATAATGAAATGTTTTTTTTTTTTTTTGGTACGTATTTTAATTAATGCATACTATCAGGTTTCGTACACTAATTGTTTACCTTCCCAATGTCAATAGTCGTAAAATATGCTTACGTTAATAATTGCTGTTTATTGCGTTTATGATTATTGTTTCAAACCAACGTCGTAAAAAAAAAAATTAAAAAAATGCTATAAAACATATTATAGTAATTACTTTGGGCGGAGCTATAATATCACGCTTTGATTGATATATGTACGTGGCCGCTGTTATTTTAGACAAATCATAATCCGGAGGCGTAGTGGAGTTGTAATGTTTCATATTACCGACTTTTCCGTAATCATATTTTCGGAAATAATCTGGAAAACATTTCGGTGGAACTCGATGATTAAAATGTTACACGATTTACTGTCGAACGGGGCAGCAGGCGAATCATTACCGTCCACATAGTTTATCAAACATCATATTTTTATTGCAAAACTCATTGTGTTATTAACGTTATCATATGTCCATGTAGATGATCGAGAGCTGAACAAAGAACAAGACTTCATCAACGTTCGATGTTGGTCAATTTTCGAAAAACTACGGAAATCGTATTTGACGAGTAAAATGATGTTTTGAAATATATGTTTTTAAACATCCATTCATACGGTGCATTCTAATTCCGATGAAAATCGTTACGTACACTTAAATAATACTACTGTTCGACTTAAGTCTCGTTGTACGCATCGTGCGAGTGTTTTTAATGACATGTGTCTAAAATGTGATCGTTTGACGCGATTTAAAAATTTAGCCCAAGCACTGTTTACCTGAGCATTAACGATCACACGGCATTACATTATTTCTAATCCGCTCGTCGTAACATCACGATTCTCATAAATATTTTAAGCGTGAACATGATTTGGACGGTAAACACCCGCCTCCTTACGTTTTACAGCCAATAAACGATTATCGGTTGCTAAGCGAATAACACAACATTATGATAATGCAAATAATGACGTTCTTACGTTGGAGAGATTTGATTAGGAAATGTCTTACCTTCGCGTACGAGTTGGAAATAATGCGTCATTACTTTGACAGATGTCGGTTGAGGATATGTTCTCAAAATTTCTATGGTATTCTAAATAAATCACATATTTTAATATACATAATTTAGACGTAACGTGTGTAGGTGCGTGTTTGGATAAATTGAAAAAAATAGCGACCGATTAGTAATCGCATTTGAATAGACAATGTATAATTGTTGTGTAGACAAGAAAAACGATTAAACGATTGCAACGATAATCAATGAGTTACTTACGTAATCTATGGCCAATAGGTTGCCTTGGACCTGGGTCATTACGTACAAGCAAAACGGTTTCATGTATATATTTTCTTTGCACTGACGTCCGAACCATTGATCATCTGGATGTTTCATTTTCGGCACATAATGTCTATCTTTTAACGTCCTCTTCGAAACAAAATCATTTTAATGTGGTAAAAAATGTTTTCAATTTAATAATTATTTCAACAATAGCATTTGGAAAATTGCATTGATTTATGATATGAAATTAAAAAAAATCTAATCGAAAACCCGAACACGTACATTGTATTGAGAAACGGTTAAAGCACTAGAAATTGAAATTATCCTATCTGTGGTAACAATTGCGAGAGATAATATTTTCAATGCCCCACAAACGGATCGAGAAAATGATTGTTCAACGTTGACAACTAACTGTGTAAGAGTATACGAACTTCGTAGAGATAAATTTCGTGATACTTGCATTTAAAACGTAGATTTTAAGCACGTCAATAGAGATAAATGAATACAGTTGTTTCATTAATATCTTTTGTTACCACTAAAATATTTCATGTATACATTTTTGATTTACAAATTTGTATGGTCAATAAAGGCTAATTTTTTTGTCGAATTTATGAATTCGATTTTAACTGTAGCTTATAGGCTTTAAAATAACCGCCAACAGGAGTCATGCGAATAATTGTCCGCAAACAATTTAATTATATCATGTTGTATTCCGAGTTAAAGGGCAAAAATAATCCTTTTCATATAAATTATGATTAATGATGACTTATGAGATTCATTTGGTTTTTAACATTTATAATTATAAATTATAATTCATTATAAACGTTTTCCTTCCATTGGGGAAATCCTATTAATAATAAATTCGGTTCTTACGTGGAATATGAAGGGAAAAATTTTTAAAATAATAAGTCTTTTGTCGTAATACATCATCCTGGCCGTTGGCACTATCAACACCAACTTATCGATTTTTTCGTTGTATTCCGGTCTTTCTGCTAATGCAATTAGGCATATAGTAGCCCCGAAAGAATAGCCGCCCATATGTAGCGTAGTATGTCCAGTCTTCTTCAATATAAAGTCAATGGCTGCTGTTGTGTCGTATATTCCCAACTCGTCAAAACTTGAACATAATAATTCATTTTATTTTCAATGTCATCGTAGTAATGTGTATTGTATTCGATATTATTATTTAATTAAATTTATGGATTAATTATTATTATTTATCGTTATATTTATCGTTCTTTGGTACAGGTGAGCACACAATTCGTAAGTATTTAACTTATATTAATACGATAATAGCTATTTCAGTCGTTTTATGAGCATAATACAATGTTCGTGGCACGTATCGTAAAAAATATAACAAATTTCTCAATTCAACAATCGCTATACGAATACAACTGGAACGAACATAATGTATATTGTTTCTGATAATTATATTTATCTGTTTGCATATGACCAGGGTTCGTAAGTTCATGCCCTTAAAAAATGCCTAAATAAGCATGCATTTATGCACTTAAAATTGACAAAATATGCTTTTAAATATGTTTTAAAAAGTTAAAAAATATGCATTTATATGCGCTAAATATCTAAAATTATGCACTTAAAAATACTTACATAAAAAAATCATAAATAATTTTTGAAATAACATGAATTATCTATTCATTTTTATTATACCTATATTTTATTTTTTTATGTCATTATTAAAAAAAAAAAAAATAAAAATAGATTTAAATACTATTTAAAACTATTCTTGAGCCTTCATGAACTGCGTATAATATACATCTTTGTCAGTAATTCATTTTAAATTTGAAACTTTTGAAACAAATTTATTCATTAAATGTACGAGTTTCAAGAAAATAAAAAAGAAAGATAGTACAATTTCTTTTTTTAATTTTATATATATTTTCCATTTAGATTTTTGATAAATTCTAATTGAATGTGGTATAATATGCATAAATATGCCAAATATGCAAAAACCTGCAAAATAAGATTTCACATATTTAACAGTAGTACATTTAAATGGATTTCTATGTCATCTAGCATTAAATACAACTTTTCAAGATTGATATGCAAATGTATGAACTTACGAGCCCTACAAATGACCAGTATGACATTTTACAAACGAATACGCGTTAAGCAGTCCATAACTGCACCCTAAAAGAAACGATAGTTATGTAATTGTATTAACTGTATCAGGAGGAAAAGCATATTCGTGAACAGTCGGGTATTATGTTCACTTTGAATGATTTCTCGATGTTCATCCGATAGTCTTACAGACGAAGTCAAAGTCAAAAAAACTTATCGAATTTACAAATGATTTCGACGATAGGAACTGTCAGTACCAACACATTTATACCAAATATTCTAGATATTCTCGGTAGAATTGATAAGCGAACAATCGTGACCAGCGGTCAACGACGAACACAATATTGTTCCTGTTCACTATTTTCATTCGTTACATTTTTTAACTCACGAGTTCCGCACTGTACAACAACCGGCTATTTCTGTGTGTTTAACAGTCGATTAAGTGTTGGAATATTGTCCCGGTCAAAAAATTGATCCTTTGCAGTAATCTCACCTGAAATCCCATGAAACGTTCCTCAATGAAGGCACTACGCCGGTCTTTGGATTTTTTATGTACTTGGAAATACCGGCCAGCCGGAAATTGAGCAACCAAACGTCGAAACCAGCATCGGATAACGTGAAACCTTTATTCGATAGAAAACAGACATTATTATTCTGCGCGCGTAACATGTAAACGACAGTGTTTAATTAATATGCAAATTGCAGGGGTATCATTTGCGGAGAGACCAAGTGAGAGCCCCGTATGAATTTCAAAAGCACACCGATGGGTAGCAACGATTGTCGGCGAAGTTGGTTTTTCCGTCGGTTGTATTTATGACTAAACTTTAATAATGCATATACAGCGGAAAAAACCATCAAAGGCCGATAACAAAGCTTTTTTAATACATGCTAATCTCTTTCAAGTTTTCGGCCTTTAAGAGCTCAATCCATATGCGTTTGAACGAAAAATAAATATAACCGTCACGGGTGTTTTTAACATTCTTTAAGTGTAGCCGTTGATGAGTTCCATTTCAATTTCACTTACTAAGTGATATATTGCTAAGTGTATAATACATGGAAGTCCCATACAATCCATGTAACAGCAAGATTGGTTTGCCGATTGTTTTGTTTCCACTTTTACCGTACGGTATCCGTTCCAAACCTACCATGTAATGATCTTGGGTTTCAACTGCGTACGTTTCCAGTGGATATCCATTATTTTTAATTTGATCACCCTTAAAGTAAAAAAACACAACAACGTTCGATTTATTCAAAAAATAATTAAAAAACACATTTACAGATGATTTTTATATTTTATATAGTTATATATTTTTAGATAGTACGTTCACAGACACTGCCGCAATTACGAAATAGGAAGCTCGTGTGCGGTAATTATATTGAGCCGCTTCCTAGGATTTATTTTTGTTCAATTTAAGTATCAATTTTTGTAGGTTTTAAAATACATTTCGCATCAGTTAGTGTATGATGTATGTATATATATCAAACTAAATACCTATAACTGTTATATATTATACTTGATTACATATTTATGTAGTCAATTTATTTAAGTAGTTTAGGTAGGTATATTGTATGCCTACTCAAATACTCAATGGACTCATTGTTAAATAAATATTATAACAACCTTACCTGCATTTAAAAATTTTTTTTATTATTAAAAAATTGTGTGTTTGTAAAGTATAATTTATTTCAGGCTGGGACTATCCACCCCTCCAAATTTATGTATGTCTTAGGGTCTGTGTGCGTGGCACACTCTGCACACCCGGTTTTTGCGGCACTGTTCACAAAACTTACTTAACCGTTAACTATTATGAAACGTGCACAAGTTTATATTTACAATTATTTTAATTGTTGAAATCGTTTTAATTATAAATAAAAGAGTTTATAAATATACTTTACAAATATCTATTCTATCGTTTTGAACACATTTTTCGGTGTACACTGTACATATCAATCATGAATATTTTTCACAGTCACAGGACTACAATAGTAATAAGAAGTACATTATTTTTAAAACATGGTGAGAAAAAAAACGTTATGCTTATTTCAGCGGGTAGGAGAGATAAAACGTTAGTTTAATGAATACTTTTTTTTTATGAAAGTAATTACTGAAATAATGTTGTTGCAATTAAACTATTTCAAAACGTAGCATCTGATGCGTTTTTTTATATGAAATTTTGTTTTGTTGCCAAACAAAATTTTGCACTACACAATGTTTTGCAACAAAATATTGCACTCGGTGCGTTTCCAGCTTAATTCCTTTTCCCCATGTTTTGGTTATTATACAAGATTTTACGACTGTTCCTACTATACGAAAGACGTGCAAACATTACAAACATAAAATTATTTTATAATTTATTATAATAATAACTTACACATTTCGTGAATGAGGATATACAGCAAAAAAATACATTTTAAATGTCTTATAACAAATAGGTTAAAATAATTAAATTTTAAAATGTATATTTATTTGTAGTTAATATCTCGTAAAAAAGATTATCATTATTATTACATTACAATTAAAGCGTGTTTGTATAAATAGTAGAAACATATTTTTAACTAATATACATTTTCGAGACTTATTTTAATTATAATAATAATAATAAAAAAAAATATTTTACTCTATTTCAACCACATTTTAAACTTTTGTAACATATATGATATGAGCGGAATCGGTATTTTTTCAACTTGGTAATGTTAGGAGATATCTCCAAAACAATTATATTTTTTTACAACTTAATATTACACCAATAATTTATTAAATTTCCATAACTTTAAAAACTTTGATTCCTATATATGGTAATGAGTTAAAAATTATATGTAGAACCTAACACCTAAAACTTCCCTGTAATATTTTTAGCTTTATAAGCACAATCCGTTAAATTTATTATTAATTATAACATCTCATTTCGATTGAAAATTCCTGAGCTGATATAACATATTTTTATAAAGACAATTTGTAGCAAATCATATTTACATAATCTGCTAAGTGAGTGTTCTACGATATCCTAAGTACTAACATGAGATTCTCATTATTTTATTTAATTGTTTGTATTTGGCATCGACTCTTATAATGTTTTATTTATTTATATTAAAAATTATATTTTAGTTTTACGATCGGTTCATTTAAGACTAATCATAAAAAAAAAAAAAAATTATTCACACATTACTGATTATTGGCTATCAACAATAACGAGTTGCTATGACGATTTAAAATTTAGTTTTTAACTAACAATATTTCTTACAAGATATTTATCACACCAACAACGAAATTGTATGCAGATACATATGATTTTTTCTTATACCTTCCGAGGACTTTAAAAATTTCATTTAAACTTAAAGTTTAAAGTTTAAGCATTATTACTTGTCAATTGTATATTTATGCAATATAGCAAAATATTGGCAGTCATTGAAAATAGTCAATGAATACATATACTCGTATTGAGCAGATAGATCATCAAGTGAGAAAATGTAACCCTTTTATAATCTTTTCAGGTTCATATAATAAAATAGTAAAAAAAAAAAAAAGTGAATAAGTAACTATAATAGTTATAAAATAATAATAAAAAAGAAAAAGAAATAAAGGGCAAATAATAAAGAGACATTTTATTTTTTGTAGTTTTTTAAAAATATACTTAAGTTTTATAAACTTGATTCCTAAAGGAATAATTGGATGTATACAGAGACATATACAATATTTTTCAATCGCCTCTATCATTAGAAACATTCAAGTATTACGTCAGCACATTTTTTAACATTTTTACCCCCTCCCCTCATTTCAGCATAAGATAGACAGTGAATACTCCTCTCTTCTCTATCTTACGTTTACGTTTTTCATAGAACCCCTATTATTCTTATTAATAGAATTAATTTTTTCAATTATAAAAATGATAATAAGTTAATAATAATAATAAAAATAAAATAATAATGATATATTTAGTAAAAATAATAATAATAAAAAAATTATAATAATAATAATATATTTAATAAAAATAATAATAATAATGTATTATTATATATTATTGAATAAGAGAAGAAATTTAATAGCTAATCAACATTTTGAGATAACTCTTTTATTGAGATTCAATAGGTATTTTGATTAACCTGTTCATTGTATTGTTTTATTTGTTTTGATTTTAATAAAGTTAAGTAATATTATGTATTTATTTAAATGTTTTGTACCTACTGTATACATTTATTACCTGTATAGTTTTAAAGTTACACTTTCAGCTGCAGTAATTATTTTTAGTTTTTATACTTTTATTGAACATTAAAAAGAATACTTTTTTTAAATTATATTTATCATATGTGATTTGTATAAAAAAAAAAAAATAAAAACAAACCATACATAAATTTGAGTGTTTTTTTGTTTTTTTGATTGCTTAAAAACAATTCCAAAAAATAAATGTATATTTATCTACTCTAATTCACTAATTAGAGTCTAATAAGATTTTTCTGCATTTTCATTATCGTCAATGTTAAATAAGATCTGTTGTAAATTATTATTATATATCACTTATATCTTCGCTTAATGTAAATATTTTTTTTTTTTTGTAATTTATTTAACTTATTTATTGAAGTTAAGTTAAACTAATGATATTTTTTAACTTAATTGAAAATAAACGCAATTAACTTAACTGAGTTAAATAAAAAAAATCATTAACTTGCCCAGCCTTGGATAATTATAATAATAATAATGTATTATTATAATAATAAATTAATAAGTTATTATGATTGATAAATTAGCCGAAAATCCATTAGTGATAGATAATTGAAATATATTTGAAGTGCACTTCTCATGAGATGCGTCTATGTGATGCATTCCTTTGTTGGAATTTGACATATTTTTTTTAACACAAAATATAACATGCTAATTATCACAAGTCTCGTACTAAAAACACCTGTTGAATTGTAAATTCAATAACTTGTAACAGTTTTGAATTTCCCGCAGGTGAATACACATAATATATAACTTTGTGAGCTCTACAAGCTTCGTATAGCAAGGAATAAAACCTATTTAATTAAAATGGCTAAAGATGAAGACCAATTTAACAATACCACCAATGGGAACTCAAAATATGACACGGTTAAAAACACGAAACAATTCAACAGCAAAAACGATAATATTGTGAATCAACTCTTTTTAAAACAGTTTACAATGTCTACGTCCAACAAGTGGGTACTACCTGAACTAAAAACTATGCTAAGTCGTAGCAAATGGGAGGTAAATAAACACGTATCAATTATTATACCTATATTTATAATTAAATTACTCTCACATTTTTAGATATAGAATATAATTAATCTAAACTTATCAAACCTCATTCTTGAGTCCAAACTCTGTTTAAGACTGCATTTGCAGATACTACAGTGTTTATAATTTAAAATACATATGTTGATTTAACCATTAAGTATTAATTATTTATGTGAACTAAACTTCCGCTGGAACTATCATATTTTGAAATATTAACGATTATCCAATTTAATGGCTATCTGTAATGCTATTAGACTTTTAAAAGTGTGTCTTCCTTCATTTAATCTTATGGTTTTTTAACGCAACTAGTGCTAAACTTTAAAAAACATTAAAAGAGTGTTAGCAAACATATAAAAATCAACTGTCCTTGAATACTGACCATTTTTGTCTTAGCGACTCATTAAGAATAATTAGTAGATGTATACATTAACTGAATAATTTTAAAAAAATACACTCTTTCCCAGTTAAACACTTGTTAAAAAGAAATATATTTAAGTATTTAATTAAATTTTTTTCTTTAGTTACCAGATTTTGTCACGTTAAAAAATTCATTAAATATCGTCAAAGATAAACTTAATGATTTTAACTTGGCTGAATGGCACAAAAATACCAAACAAATGAATCCAGCTGATAAAGTTCTTTATAAAGTTAGAGGAGCTGGGCGTCCTGAACTATTGACTACAGCTTGGTTAAAATTGTATGAGATACTGAATGATAAGGATGTAATACCTCAATACAGTATTGATGATGGTAAACTATACAGTGTTCACTTATGTGAAGCTCCAGGAGCATTTATTTCTGCTCTAAACCATTTTATTCGTAGCAGAGATATAAATGTCGAAGTAAGTAAACTTATTTAATTTTTTTTTAATTTTTTCATTGGCTGACTGTTTGTAT